TATACGTTGCCCAGGGTGCACCACGTGGAGGTAAGTCTATCGCGCACCCCTTAAACTGATGTTTGAAGTGTGGATATTAGTATTTACTTATTTTTTTTCAATACGTTATCTAATTTGTGATGCTTGGCTGTATAAGTTAATGCCAATCATTAGGTGTTGACGTGATAATTACATTGTCATACCTGATCTACCATTGGGTTTTGATTTGATCTGCTCCAAAATGCCATCAATCTGTGAAATGAAGTCGGTTGTTTAAATATTCAGGTCACTAGCTAGTTAACTACAAGGAAACCAAAGGAGACAAACTGTTCAAGGTAGATAGCAGGACATATGGGCAATGAAAATAGGAGAAGTTGAAATTTCGTAGAGAGGAAGCTGGTTGAAGACCCTCAAATTTATAGTGAATCACCGAAGGACCAAATGAAGGTGATGGATGTTAAGAATTATCGAGGTAAAATTGAGCCTGAATATTTTTAAAAAGTTGGCAAAAGATGAAGTAATTAAAATAAAACGTACAAATCAACTGTGGCGATGAGAGGGAGGGGTGTGGGGGATTAGACATGAAGGGTACCTGGTAAAGATATAGAAATGGGATACTATTTCATTCCAATCATAAAATTTTATATCGACGTTAGTTTTAAGTTCGGTCTTTTAAATGAATACATATCAACTTTGTTTTTGCCTAATCTTCTGACATTATTCATACTTTAGGCGCAACACCTGATCAACTGAATGAAGAACTTCGAGCTGTTATAAAGAAGATCTGGAAGCATACAAGTCCAAAGTTACTTGATCAGGTCGTTCCTCCAGCTGGTAGTAAGTTATCTACTCTTTCTGCTATAGTTGATTCGAAATTAGACTGTATTTTATATTATGCCAGATTAGGAATTATGTTTCAATTACAATATTTGCGGTCAATCTCGCGATATTTCAACATAGAAATGATGATTTTTTCCATCAATCATTGAAATAGTGCTTGCCTTAGACCTCGGTTATGTTGTGTTTCAAGCGCTAATGTTTGCTTTAAGAAATGATTAGATGATGGCGGGCTACTTCAAAATACTCTTCTTTCATTTTAGAATAACGGCTTTGCATTGATGCAAAGATTCTGCATGTTTGCATGTCTCTTATTTACTCATTCTCTGCTTCCTAAACGCACCCACCTTCACCTCCATTCTCACAATTTATGTTGTGGTACAAGAAAGTGCCTTTTAAAATGAATTGAAAGAAGGCTCTCCATTTCATTCCTAAAGAAAATGAGAATTTCTTTTTTTAGCAAGGAGTACAACTGAATGGTTAAAAGTAATTTCGAGAATACGCTTCAACAATACAGTCTTTGATCGAGCACTAATTTATATGCCTTATTAAAGCCTTCATTTACGCAATCAAATAAGGAGAACCATTGAAAGAATCTTGACCTTCATTGGTACGTTATTCATAAGGCGTTTTCAGCACCGGAGGACAAGATACCTTTTGACTTAAATCAATTACCTTTTTCCTCTTTATTCTAGCTAGGCTCTTGATTTTGGATTTCACTAAGATGCATAATCATCATAGGTAATAGGTAGAAACGCATGAAGAGTGGAAGCCTGATGGAAAAGGGACATCAATGAGATTAAATTGGGGATTCACTGGTATTGTTTTGCCTGATGTTGATTGAAATAGAGGATAAAGTTTCAACTTCTCTACAACAGAAAAAAACTAGTAACTAAAATAATTGCAACTCTAGACAACTGCATCAAGGACAGTTTCACTTCCGCTCATTGGCTCTTATTCAAAGTACCCGCTTGATTATGGCAGCTAGTTGTCTCTGCTCTTGTGTTGAATATCACCTAGACTACGATTGGGAGGTCAAATAATACACACATACTGATTAGATGGTGAAATCATAAGTGCAAACCGTTCTACCTCATCATGGCAGAAGTCATATGCGCTCCTTATAGCATCAGTGCTAAGGGTAACATGAAGAATACTCGCTTTGTCGATTCCGCAGCACAGCATACACTAAACGTCGGTGACTCATTTTTTCATCTAATTCATGAGAAGAAAGTGATCGCTTTCCTAATTGGATTAAATATTATTCTACTTGAAGCTAAGAAATTATTGGCATTCATCATCATACGGCCATTCGAGATTCTTTGGATAAAAAATAGCAAAATAGTACGTCGATTTCATTGATTGAATGGGCACCTGAAACCACACAGATGTTTGCATATTCCAAGTGATAACCAAATTAATGAAGTCACGCACAATTACTTTAGTAACTTCTAACATACTCGCATTAGAGCTTATTTATCAGTTTTGTTCCTTGTTTTTGTTTTCTTTCTTCTAAAATTGGGATTTTTACTCATAAAAAATCGGTTTTTTCCATTGAATAGCATTCTAAATAGGCTGGGGTAAAAGTAGTTCTATAACATTGAAATCAGATTGCAGCATTAGATCATTAGCCTTTAATGTGAGAATTCCTTAAAGATATTTCAGACTATTTATGTTCTAAAGTACACACACTGTCATGGTTGACATTCCAACGAGAATCCTATTTTCTATTACTACTCATTTTTCGATTTTTTCCTATATAACAATAATTGGTAGTGAGTACTGTTTGCCCTAGTATTTAAACAATCGGCATAAGTTGGGTAGCGTGACCTGATATATATTCATTGAGAATTTAATTTCTATTCAAAGATTAGATCTCCACGTGCTGTAGTCTACTTAATCTCGTCGCCCAATGAAAAAAATAAGCCGATATAAATAAAATCAATATTTAAGAAGAACATCTCATGATTTGTCTTATTTCATCGATCCATCTACGTCAGTTTGAGTTGCTCAGACTCAATAGGGTTTGACTTAAAATATGCCCCTAAACGAGGTGACCGATCATAAAGATTTACAAATTTGAACATTGATGTTAAATGAAAAAACTTTATATTTCCAATTCACCATATCTCGCCTCGAACCTCTTAAAGCCATTGGATTACGCTTCTTAGAATTTCCTTAGAGTAAGTGGAATAAGTTATGTAGGTACCTGTTGTCAGCTTTCATGCGTGTTCGGACATTTCAAACATCATAAATACAGGAAAGTAGTTTTAGCAGTCCTCTCCTACACAATCCTAGAACTAGCAAGATGAAGAAAGGTCGCTTCGAAGCGGTCAAACTACGGAATTAAATAAATTTATCAAAAGCTTTGATTACTGTCTATATAAGCTCAGTCAGGATTTTTGTAGTCAATTCCTGAAGTTCAAGCCCGGGGTTGGTGGAGGGGATTGGCGCTATTACAAAACCAATTGTGCTCATTGACTTCGATCGATTTCATCGTTTTGTATCCCGGGATCCTCTCTCAGTAATATATAAATGGGCTCGTTGTCTCTTCCTCTACTTCAGACTCAGTTTTTTTGCTCTTACTATTTGTATCTTTTAAATTCAAGTCAATAATGGTAAAAAATCTAAGTTAATGATACGATTGCAGATTGGGAATCAGCCTTAGTTACTACTTATTTTGTAAAATAAGTATGATTCGTTTAATCTAATATTTAACATAATTGCCTGACTGACATTTATAATTGTCTCAGTCAAATCGAATGACTTGATAGCGTAGTTAAGGGCCTATATTTACCACTAAATAAGCACAATTCTCATCCTGACTGCAGATGTTATATTTTTTTAAAATCCCATCATATTTTATCGTGATCAATGCAGTTGAACTAATTCAAACAGGATTTTGTCTCATTTCTCCTCAACACTCGCTCGCCTTAAGTTTTACGCTTCAATAAGCTCGCATGTTTTATTTAGCACGGGAATAATGTTGTCAAAGTCATAATCACTTTTCTGTCAAAGCAGTCCCTCTCCTGGATTCATCTATCTACCTTTGTTTCTGTCTTCCTCCCTAGGTAACGATGACGTCACTGTTGGGAAATTCTATGCCACTTTTCTCATTCAAGAGTGGTTCCGGCGGTGGAAATTGAAGAAGGCTGAAGAACACAAACATCTCCCATATGGTCAGGTAGGTGGCCTTGATACTTGGAAAGTTCCAGTTGTTCGGTTGAAAACACTTTAGCAAACTCAAAATAGTAGAATTAAGTGAACTTCCTAAAATTTTACTCCGTTACGTGTTTAGTCGATTAATGCGCAAACCACTCATTATTGGCATTAACAACGACTATCAGTTTTCATTAGGTTTCAACTATATCACAAGCCAGTAGATGCCATGGGAAATAATTTCACTTATGGCATTCGGTTTAATGGATAAAACACATTAAAATCCATCTTGGAAGCCACTTAGATTTTTTTAAATAAGTGATTGATATGCAGGTGGATTCCTCAGTAGATCTTTGCCCCGAATTTCCAGGTGCGGTAAAGGTTATGTCCGTTGGTTGCTAATCCGTAATAAATTTTCCACCATTGAAAAATTATCAACAAGAAGAATGGAAAGTTCATGATACTCTTTCTCAATTTCACAGTGTTCCCGTCAGATTCTTCACTTTGTAAGGTACTTGCGAGTACGTGTAAAATACCTCATTGAACATGCCAGCCTAATTAATGTAGGTTTATGTTATGTCAGTCACAATTGACCAGATGGAAGAACTGAAAACAGTGGAGTTCAAGGTTGCTTTATTTCGCATTATCCAATGGTGATCCGGATATCACACTCGAATACATCTGTTTCGGACCAAGAAAGGGAGATTAGACTGAAATGCTATCATTCTAAGACTATTTATGCGGATAAGAGTGTTCTCGTAGCAACAATAGCAAGTATGGATCAATCCAAAGTAGATTTATAATCATGAATGAGTCATTCATTCAGATTCTGCAGCCCTGTGCCATATTAATCGGTGTTTTTTGAATTTTCTATTACGGTAGTAGCTTAATGTCTTTAAAATCAGAACTGCATTTTATGACAAGTGGTCAACGCAGATGGTGACTATGAATTCATTTGAATTGCCCTGTCAACTCAATTGCTTCCCTGTTACCAATTAAAAATCTATGGAACAAAATCCAGAAACCTGTTTCCTTTTAATGAATACTTTTAACAAAATTGAACGTCTTCTTCTACTTCTTTTCAGCACAAGAGACACTCAATTATGCCGTTCCGGGTGAGTGGACGCATTCTCTTTCTTCTTTTTCTTCTTCTTCTATTAACTCGCAAATTAAATAATTTATTCTGCTTAGAAATTAGCCAGAAGGGATACTTTTTGCCTTTTAATGTTGGGGAGTGGGGGTGAGGGGGGGGGTGTGTGGCAGATTAATCGGGGATAGGAATAAAAATGTGGAAATATAATGAAATTTGGAGAGTTAAATTGAATATGAGAGCAAATCATGAAGATATTTACCTTTGCGGTGTGCTCATATTGTTTACACAAGGATATTTACATATATCTAATGTCCATTTAAAAACGGAATAGAATACTTTCAAATTGTGATAGGAGCCATATATAATCTTGGCTGTCCTTTTGTCCTAAAATTTATTTCTTCAAGATTTTATTGTACTCGGTTGGAACTCAGCTTTTAACCCGGTTTCAAGAACAAGGATTTACCTTTCATTTACATTTTGAGAATATTACCCAGTTCAATTTATTTCGGTTGTAAGTTGATCAAGTAATGAACGAAAGAGCGGTTTAATTGGTCCATACAACTACTGAACAAGGTGATATGATAAAATTAAGTGACATTGGACTTAGAATTTCGAACTCTATCAAATTCAAGTCACCGAAGCTTCATCCATTTGAATTAGGAAGAGGACATGTGGAATAATCAAAATTCTCAATTTTAGACTCATTATTCAGGCCAATACTTTACATTTTCTAAGCTAACTTCCGTTTATAAGCGACATTCATTTATCATTGTGTATCAAAGCATGAATGTCCGCCGTTTCCATCCACTAAGAATTAATATCTGGGAGCAAATTTTATAGACTGAGAAGTAGAATTGATCCACTTGTTCCTGCACTTCCCGTTCCCTTTGCTACATTATGGAAAATTTTACTAATTTTTGCCAATTTACTTTACGCTTTCCTTCCGCGTTGTAGGGACGATCATCTCTCATCCAACCTGATGACGAAAGGGGCGGTTCATCAACGAGTGACGATAAGGTGAGCCATTGTGCAAATGCCAAATTTCCTCCGTTTAACATCTCTCAAATAAACTCCAAACAAAACCAATAGGGAATTAAAGTTTTTGGGTGTATACAGAGTATATTTTAATATTATGCGAATACCAAATAGGTGATGTATTGTATGCACATTGATACATGTGAATATCCTGAAATTTCTACTTCTCCTAGAAACACCCCCTGGAAAAATGGATCAACGGAGAAGATAGGAGATAAGCCAGTGGTCAATCACCTACTTTTCCTATGAATTCCACATCTGATTTAAACAATCTTATAAGCAAATAAGCCTCCATATTATGCTTAAAATGAAAAGCGAAGCTTAGTTAAAAATTTTTAATTCGAAGTTTAAGCAAGTAACATATTTATTTATTTATTTCAAATGGCAGGCTTTATGATATTTATCATTAGCCCTTAATCTTTGACTTCAGCTTCCCCCAAGGATGAGGGGGGTACATTTATAGCAGTTCATTAATAGCAGTTCATTAGCATTCTTCTTGCTTCCCAGTATCTCTGGCTTTCCGTCGTTGTCTTTAGGGCTGGACACCGAATCAGGTGGGTCTTCTCCATTTCCTCATGTAGGTTACATAGAGGGCATGTGGGTTGAGTGTATACTCCCAATCTGTGAAGGTGTTTTGCCAGACAATCGTGTCCGGTACGTAGTCTAAACTCAGCAACGGCTTCGATTCTTGGCCAGTCGGGTATGTCAGAGA